TATGATAACAACCATACGTGCCATCATGTCAGGGCAGGGGAAGTTCCCTGAAGACAAAAGAAAAATTCCTTTTTGACCTCCTCAGTCAGGAAATGGAAAGGAATTTCACTTAAAAAAATTTCAAAGTAGATGATGCATCTGTTCAGACCCACACTTTGCCTCGCAGTTCTTGGCCTCGAACCACTAGTTTATGTAAGAAAATCTCTAATGCGAATGAAAACAACATAGGGCCCTGTAGCACAGTAGTCAGGCCCCAGGGGAGACACAGAGATCTGGCTTAGAATCCTGTCTCTGCCCCTGCATTGCATGAGGGTTTAGACAGAGTACTTTCCTCTCTGGTCTTCAGGTTCATGGGGAGGCCAACAGTGCTGTTTCTTAGGATTGTCTTGAGAAGTGACTGAAATTGTTCATGTAAAGTAAAAGCGCCGGTTATAGTGCCTGGAACATAGCAAGTGTTCAGTAATATCACTGGTCTTTCTTTAGTGTTCCCCACATGAAATATTCAGAAAATGCTATGGACTCTCTATTCAAAAGTCTGCTATTTCTAGTGCAGTTCATATTCCGTGCTGGCCTGTTTGGGCATGAGTTTGCTTGTCTGTTAGGTTAATTCTTGCATATCTAACCTTAACTCATCTTCACTAACGTATTCAGACATTTTTGAAAGGGTTTATCTACATTCTTGCAATTGGGGTGAACTTAAAACTTGCTAAATTTCACTTTCCAAATACTTCTATTCCAATAGTCATTCAGTTTGGGAGGCCTGTCTTCAGCTCACAACCATTCATCTTTTGTCTCTTGGGCAAATATCTCTCACTTGATCATTTATGAGACAAAGGAGATTTGCTCACCACCTATAAGCCAAGATACTGGATTCTGGCTTAGTCTCTGATCAGCGACTCAGTGACAGGCTGGCACACGGGATGGGATGGCCAGGGCCCAACAAGAATTACTTCCTGACTTCACAAAAATGTTTTCCTGATCTCTCCTTATATATGCTAAGATGATAAAGATAAGTCAATTTGCCCTAAAAGAGTTAATTAATCTTGGGGTAACTGGTGGCTCACTTGGTTAAGTGTCTGACTCTTTATTTCAGCTCTGGTCATGATCTCTTGGTTCATAAGTTCAAGCCTACATCAGGCTCTGCACTAACAGTGCAGAGACTCCTTGAGATCCTCTCTCTCCTCTCTCTCTTCCTCTTTCTCTCTCTCTCAACAATGAATAAACTTTTTTTTAAATTAAGTACTCTTATGCTGTCAAGTCTAGATTTAATTTAGAACCATTAAGTGTTGAATTGACTGTTGAATTTGCTAGAAAGTCATCCAATACAGGTTTAGAGGCAGTTATAAATCATCCAAAGAAAATAACCCATTCTTATGTGATTATAGGCACTAATGAGACCAGTCAGTCCCAGGTGAGATCTGACTTGCTTGTTCTCACTTTAGAGCTTTCACATGACTCCATACCAGTCTTTATCTCCAAAGGAATCCCCATACAAAGATTAAATAACATAAATTGTGTCATTCCTTAGATTGCAATGAACACAAATATTAGCACACTATAACTAAGAAGCCACTTTTGTTTCATCCATCCATTCATTCATTCCTTTGTTTGTTTATTTTAGATTAGTTATTTATTTTAGAGATAGCATGAGCCAGGGAGAGAAGCAGAGGGAGAGAGGGAATCTTAAGCAGACTCCACACTAAGTGTGGAGCCCAACAAGGGGCTTGATCTTATAACCCTGGGATCATGACCTGTGCTGAAATCAAGAGTCAGCCGTTCAACTGACTGAGCCAACCAGGCGCCCCTGCTTTTGTTTTATTTTTGGTGGAAAATTAAAAGAGGGCTAAATTTCTTTTCACTTATTTTAATTCAACACTTACTTTGTATTTGGATTATTAAAATAATCCAGATATGCTTTACTAATGGAATATTTGGAAAAAACAATAGGAAGTTACAAAGACAAGTATAAGCTACAAATCTACTAATCATATAGTAACATTTAAACATATTTACCTCCATCCTGCTTCTCTACAATATTTTTACATAGTTGAAAAGGTTGTGCGTCTTTTTTTACTTAGCACTAATTAATGGCAAGACTTCCATAAGCATCACTGTGTTGATGGTATATACTGCCATGTGCTTAACCTTCCTGATAATTAGGCTTGTAACATTTATTTTTAATACATAATTTTTTTAAATAATCATGCTTATTTATGTAATTTAGAAAATACTGAAAAGCAAAAAGAAAAAAAGATAGGGGCTTCTGGATGCCTCAGTTGGTTGAATATCTGACTCCTAATTTGGACTCTGTCATAATCCTAGGGTCTTGAGATCAAGCCCTGCATTAGGCTCTATGCTGAACATGGAAACTGCTTGGGATTCTCTCTCTTTCTCTGTCCCTCTGCCCCTCTCCCCTGCTTGCTCTCTCTCTCTCTCAAATAAAAATGATAATTTTTAAAGAAGAAAATATAGGGACACCTGGGTGGCTCAGTCGGTTGAAGGTCCGACTTCAGCTCAGGAAGTCATGATCTCATGGTTCGTGGGTTCGGGCCCCGCTTTGGGATCTGTGCTGACAACTTGCTCAGAGCCTGGAGCCTGCTTTGGATTCTGTGTCTCCTTCTCTCTCTGACCCTCCCCCATTTGTGCTCTGTCTCTCTTTGTCTCTCAATAATAAATAAAGGTAAAATTATTTTAAAATAAAAAGAAGAAAAAATAAATTGATAGTTAAATTTTTAAATGTGGCTGTGATAATTTTAAAGCTGAAGAAAATACATTGACAACTGCCATTTCATCAAGATCCTGATGTAGCAGCCTCTGTGCAGTCAGATTTGTGATCTTTACACATAATCCAAAAAGCTCAGAGTATTATAATCACTGCTTTATGGGTCTAGAGTTCATAGAACTAGTAAGAGGTAAATACAGATTTTAAATAGATGCATCTGACCCCATGTATTCTCCTGACTATGTCATACTGCTCTCCCATAACCATCTCCATTCCACCACCACGTCTATGACCACCACCTCCACCATCTTCACTGCTACTTCTACCACCTCGGCCATCACCTTCACCACCAGCTCCAACTCTATCCCACCACCTCCATCACCACTGTATCTCCACCCTTAGAGCTTCTTATCTCCGTCACTACTTCTTTTGATCTCATGCCTACATACCCTTTCTCCTCTCTTCACCTTTATATTCTCTTCCTCGCCTGCTTCACTTCAACCTCCAACAAGCATTTCCTTAAGTACCCGGATAACAGAGATAAAGCAAAGGCCACCCTACTATGATCATTGTATGAGCAATCCTAATCATCTATCCATTCAACAAAACCTGAGAGCATACTATGTGGTGGACATTGTTTTGAGTGCTCAGAGTATAGTTAACTCCCCCATTTGCAGGATTTTTTTCAACACCAAGAGCTCATTTGTTTTTTAGGACTTTCTTCATTTTCACCATATGAAACATGCTTGCAGATTGTCAGCCTGTGTTTACATTACCAGTTCACACAGACTAGCCTCCATGCTGGATGGAAAACAGAAGTGAGCTGTTTGAGAAGGATACACGAGTCAAAAGGAAAGTCTCAGGCAATAGTCATGAAGTAATCTCTTATCGCTTATTGCCACAGAAAACTACCGCAGGCAAGAACTTCCTATTTCCCTACTCAGATCATAGGTATTTGCTTAATGCAGCTAGCCTGCAATAGTTTATACACAGACCCTCTCCAGAAAAGACCCTTGATATACAAGAAGAAAGGAAGAAAATTAAAACATCGATTAAAGAATGAGTGCCTCAGGACACCTGGGTGCCTCAATTGGTTAGCATCTGACTGGTTTCAGTTCAGGTCATGATCTCACAGTTTGTGAGTTCAAGCCCCACATTGGGGTCCATGCTGACGGTATGGAGCCTGCTTGGGATTTTCTCTCTCTGCCCCTTTCACTCTCTGTCTCTCTCTCAAAAATAAATAAAAATTAAAAAAAAAATGAAAGAGTGCCTCAACAATTACATATGCTAAAATCCTTTTCCTTCTCACTTGCGTAAAAGAAACCCATATTCTTTCTGTTCCTATTTTCTATGTAAAATGATTAGTAGTAGAGGAATCAGGATCTATATATGACTACACAATGCCCAGAACAGTACTAGGAACATCCGGGCCCCTGCAGACAAATAAAATCCACTACTACAGTCAAAGATGCCTTGGAGAGTGACTACTCTGACTCCTACAATTAAATTTCTTTCACATATACGCAGTCAAAGAAAACCAAATGCTCCAGATGCACTTGGTAAATACCTGGGAACCAACATTACCTAAGTTCTTATTTTTATGCAGGTATTTTTTCAAGCCTGAGCTTTACCTAAGAGTAAAATCCCTTCCAGCTGCCTGCATGCAAAGGGGACTCTGCGTAGAGAACACAGCTTCACAAAAGGGGGTGGCCACAGAGTGTTTCCCCAAGCAAACCCCTCAGGACCCCCAACAAATGCTAAACGGCACTTTTCTAGAGCAAACCCTGGGTCTGCAGTCCAAGCAACTATCAATACAACATCCATTTAAGAAAGAGAAAAGCAGAATGAGTTTACAATCATTCTCTAAGAGAGCTGAAGAGTGACTTTAACACGGGACTTCCCAGCAGCAGGTTTATGAAGAGCTGAGCAAACATCATATCCCGAGAGTCACATTTTATTTTTTTAATTTTTTAATTTATTTGGGGGAGGAGAAAGAGAGGGGGAGAGAGAGAGAGAGAGAGAGAGAGAGAGAGAATCCCAAGAAGGCTTCCCGCTGTCAGCACAGAACCCGATTCAGGTTTCGATCTCACAAATGGTGAGATCATGACCTGAGCCAAAACCAAGTCGGATAGTTAACAGAGTCCTCCATGTGCCCCCAAAGTCACATTTTAAAACTTCTCACCATTCTGAAGAGAGTGCTAGGATAGCAATTCCTTTGCCATCTTGATAAGCCAAGCAATGACTTCTGATACATCAGCCAAGGAGTGACTTTACTTACATGCAAGAAAAAGAGGGTAAATCCAAGAGCTGGCTAGTTATCCCTGAATTCAGAAAACTCATAATCCACTGAGGAAAAGGTTGAGGATTCCACTCTAAGCAGCTACAGTTCTGGAGGCTCAGTCTAACGCAGGACTAGATCCGAAGCTGAGCAGAGAGTAAGCTCTTTCGAAAGAAGGGGAAGTATCTATCATCTCTACTTCCTCAATTTTCTTGTTCTTCCCTCTTATTGTTATTGATCCCTGCCTCGATTCCCAAATCCAGGGCACCATGCACACAAAGTGGGCGTGTCCCATCCATCTGACTTCCCTTCTCCCTAAACACTATGTAGTGTATTCATTTCCAGGACACACGTACAAAACACTACCTGGTTTTGTGTTTTGTTTTGGTTTTGTTGTTGTTGTTGTTGTTTTGGAGGCAAAGATGTTTATACACAGGTATGGAGGGTGGGAACGTTCACAGAGCTGTTCTCAGTGTGGTTAGTGGAGAGGCCACTTGTTAACCATCATCCTCTTTTAGGCTCAGTCTTACTTCAAATTTCTCTTCTTTTTCCTAATAGTCCATAATGCTCTTCTAAATAGAGATTAAAACCACTTTATGGTAAAAAAAAAAAAAAAAAAGAAAAAAAGAAAAAAAAAAGTCTTAGCCTGCCCCTGTTTTGCAGCACAAAAAATAAATTCTCCAACAGTGAAACTTATCTTTTCCACACCAGGCAAGGAAATGACGGGCTGAGAGTCAGAGATATTTGAACTCCTCACCTAAATTCCTGCCCTTTCTCCTCTCCTTTCCAACGGCAGCATCTTGTTATTTTAGAGCTTCTTAGGGAGAATACAATCTCACTATGTTTATACTCTGCTTTCAAAGAGAAGGAAAAAAACCATTAAAACTGAGCTCATGACCAATGCAATCTTCCAGAATGCGGGAGCTAAATTATTAGCATGTGTATTAGTTATCTGATTATGCTGATACTTAGAGGCTTAAAACAACAAACACACGTGACCTTAAGGCTTGTGTGGGTCAGAAGTCTGGACCCAGCTTAGCTGGGTTCTCCCACTAAGAATCTCCTGCAGGCTATAACCGCAGGGGGTCAGCTGGGGCTACAGCCACCTTGAGGCTGGACTGGAGAAATGAGCTCTCCCATGCTCACTCATGCAGTTGTTGCTAGGATTCAGTTTCTCATGGCTATGAGACTGAGGAACTCAATTCCTGCTAGCTGTGGACCAAGGGCATCCTCACATAGGCCTCTCTGTAGAGGAGCTCACAACATGACAGCTGGCTTCACCAGAGTGACAAAGCAATAGTGAAAGGCAATGAGAGTGAGGAGTACAGCTCCTGGTTAAAGTCCTACGTCTGGTCCTTCTGACCTGACCATGGACACTTACAAAGGCTTCCCCCAGCATGGAGTCCTTCCCCAGGAAGGAGTCATGCAGTGTGAATTCCAAGGACAGGGATGATACATGACCATCTTTTAGGTTTAGATACAGTATGTAAAATTTTACCCAAATTCAAGTCGTCACTGTCCAGCCAAATGCTAACAAAAGGGAAAACTCATCTAAAAATAAAATCATAAGCATAGTCACACCGCTACAAGAAAATCCTGCTGCCCAAGATATACCAAGATCATACTGCTCAGATGTGAAAACCCAATGACTCTAATTATTCCATCTCCAAGACACAAATTAATATATAAGCAAACCCTACAATAAACTATAAAACTAGCTTAGAATCTGCAATTTCAATCAAAGGAACAACTTTTCACCTAACCACAAGCATGAGAAGCCTCCAAACAAACTCAGAGATTTCTTAGTGGGTTTATATAATCTCCTTAAGCATCCATCTCAATGGGATCAGAACTCCTCAATACCTGGCTTTTTTCCTCCTTTTAAAAAATTTTTAAAAATTTTTTAGTTTATTTTTGCAAGAAAGAGAGACAGAGAATGAGCAGGGTAGGGGCAGAGAGAGAGAAGGAGATAAAGAATATGAAGCAGGTCCCAGGCTCTGAGCTGTCAGCACAGAGCCTGACATGGGGCTCGAACTTGTGAACCTCAAGATCATGACCTGAGCTTAAGTCAAATGCTCAGCCAACTGAGCCACCCAGGCACCCCGGCTTTTCCCCTCTTGACACTCAATGAGTCCCTCCTAAGAATGACCAGGCTTCATTGCTGTAGCCCCACCAACCCAGCATTGGTACAAAAGCATACCACTCCTTCCTTCTTCCTTTGTAAGCATTTTTAAGGGCTGTTTCCTGGCCTACATCCACTGGGGGCAAGGAGGAAATGGTCATTCTGGGTAGAGAAGTAAATAATTCAATTGCCCTTGTATCTTCCTAAATTAAAGATGTGCAGTTAACAGCTGACATCCAGATAGAAACCAGTGACATTTGATCCACAGTTTAAGTGGCAAAAGACTCAAGGCAACATTTTCAAAATCCAAGTGGAGATCCTCTGTATGTCATGCTTGGTGTCTCTGCTTCTTCAGAAGTTTTTAAATTTACAGGTTACACATAGCCTACACTCCAAAATGCCCTATGCCTATGCCTCACAATCGAAATGTCAATTAAAAACTATTAAAAATAAGTAATTCTGTTGGAGGAGCAGAGAAAACAAGGACATATAATAAAGTTACCACTTGGTGAAAGTGATTGCCTTTGGGAAATAGAAAATAGTGGAAAAACTATTTCAGTCTCTGGTTTCAGACTTCCTCTAATTTCTTTTATATTCATTTCATAAGAAGACAAAAACTAAGACAAAAATCCACGAGAAGTTTGAAAATCTAGGGACGCCTGTGTGGCTCAATTGGTTGAGCATCTGACTTCAGCTCAGGTCTTGATATCATGGTTTGTGAGTTCAAGCTCTGCATCGGGCTCTGCACTGACGGCTCAGAGCCTGGAGTCTGCTTCCCATTTTGTGTCTCCCTCTCTTTCTCCATCTCTTTCTACTCGTTCTCTCTCTCTCCCTCTCACTCTCTCTTTCTCTCGCAAAAGTAAATAAACATTAAAGATATTTGAAAAAAGAAAATCTAAGTAAGTGATGGGGCTGAAAGAAGGAAGATTGATTGAAAGTCTCTAAGAAACTACCAACTGGCACCCCTGCGCAGACTCCCCTTTCAAATATCTCTAACAGCCCAGCCTTTACACAGCAAGCATGCACCAGGCTGTGGACAGCCATTTTACCCCACCCCAAGCAATATTGTGGAAGATTTACCTCTAAAAATATTGAAATTATGTGAAGATTACAGACAATGTATGTGGATATGGGCACCCCAGCATGAAAACTCCACATTCTGGTATTAGAGCATCACTCAGCATGTGCTGGGGTAACTGTAAACTGTTGTAAGTAAGTGGAGAAAGTGACCTTCTAATTGATCTCCCCCTCAAAGATTCATGAAGATATTGTATCAGAAAAATGAAACGAGTGCTAAGAAAAATAAGGAACCTAAAAACGAGAAAGAGCTTTTGGATATTATAAGTATGATTGCCAAATAAAGATGTTAATGGAAGGGATGGGTGATAAATTCAAGTAAATCCTTCAGGATATATTATTCAATGACCTCTTTAAAGCAATATCATAAAAGATTTCCCATAATAAAAGTCTATGAGTATTGGGATTCAAAGTTCTCACTGAACGCTCAGGATGAGGAATTTCAGGTTAATGTAAAAGTCTCACACTCCAAAGACAAAGAGAAAATACTAAAATCTCCCCAATAGAGAAAATAAGCCACTTCCTCAGATGCAAGGAACTGAAAGATTCCAGATTTCTTCTAAGTAGCATTGAGAGTTAGAAGGCAAATGAGCAAAATTCTGTAACACCATAATTTTGCCCTAGAATTGTTTTCACTCACTCAACACAAATTTTGGAGCACCGCTCTGGGCACGGGAAATACAGCAGAAAATGAGCAATAAAGAAAATGCTGCCAGTCTTCAATTAGGATGGCATACACTCTAAGCAAGATAAGTAAAAGATCATGTGTTCAGTAGTAATAAGTGCTTAGGAGGGGGAAAAAAAAAAGCAAGATAGGAAATATATTGAGTCAAGGAAGAAAATTAGACTAAAAATTAGATTATGTAGCCAGGGAACGATTGACAGAGAAGATGACCTCTGAGCAATGATCTGAAGGAAGTAAGTGAGCCAGCTGACAGCTGAGGAAAGACGATAACATAGAGTGGGAACAGCAAGTGCTAAAGTCCTGGGGCCTCCAGAGCTTCACTGGTATACTAGAAGAAAAGCAAGGAGGTGGGCTTGGCTGGAACTGAAGAGAGGAGAAAGGAAAGCAAGAGAAGCCAGGCCATACATGGTTATGGTTAGATCACATGGGGTCATAGTGAGTACTTGGGGTTTTGGCTCTGACCAAAACTAAACCAGGAGGGAGTCAGCAAACTTTTTCTGAAATGGACCAGATACTATATTTAAATAGTAAAGAGTCACATTCCAACTATTCAACTCTGTTGTTGTAGCATGAAAGCAGCCACAGACAACATGTAAATGAATGAACTGGTTATGGTCTGACAAAATTTTATTGATGGACATTAGAATTTGAATTATATATAATTTTCTTGTGTCCCAGGGTATGCTTCTTCTTCCTTTGACTTTTTTTCTTCATCCATTTAAAAATGTAAAAAGGTTATCCTATAACTTATGAACTGTGCAAAAAAACAGATTTGGCCCATGGACAGTAGTTGGCTGATCCTGAACTAAATTATCAATCAAGAATGAAATAGAACATGCCTATTCTCAGACACAGAAGAGTGGACTCAGAAAGACCACCTCTTACGCACCCTTTCTTAGGAAGTTACTGGATAATGTACACTAGCACAAAAAGGGAATAAACCAAGATATGGAAAAGGTAGAATCCAAGAAAAAGATGTCCAGGAATGTAGAGAAAAGATGAGACAAGCGTCTGGCCTAGATGGCAAAGCATCAAACTGGAACATGAGAGAAAAAGATTCCAAAAACAAAGTTTCCGGGGGGTGGAATGGGGTTACAGAGTGTGGTACTGTCCTTTGAAATATGGAGTAACTTAAGGAGGCAGTAAAGGCAAAGATAAAAAATTGAAAAGCAATTAGAGAACACCAACACATGTCATCTGGGAAGAGTGAAAGATTGACTTCTTCTTTGCTAATTTGTATGCTTTTATTTCTTCTTATTTTCTAATTGCTGAGACTAGGACTTCAGTACTATGTTGAACAACAGTAGTAAGAGTTGGCATCCCTATCATGCACCTGACCTTAGGGAGAAAACTCAAAGT